ATCCAGTTTCTGGACATTTATATATAAACTTTAGAATAAACTTGTCCATGTCTATAAAAAAAATCTTGACAGAAATTCCATTAAACCTAAGATCCATTTGGAGAGAACTGGCATCTTCACAATGTTGAGTCCTCCAATCCATGAACACAGTATGTCTCTCCATTTATTTAGATCTTTATTCATTAACACTTTGTAATATATATACATCCTCTGCATGTTTAATTAGATTTATACTTCAGCATTTCATTCTTGAAGTTAGTGACTACAAAGAGTACAGTTTCCAACTTTGGTTTCCATGTGTTTATGGCTAGGTTATAGAAATACAACTGATTGCTAGAGATGTGTTTATCTTATATTGTTTCCTTACTGAACTCACTACTAATTCTAGGAGGATTTTTGTGGACTTCTTGGGATTTTCTACACAATCATGTTATCTGTAAACCAGGGCAGTTTCCAATCTGTATGCCTTTTATTTTCTCTTGTCCTACTCTAGCAGCTAGGATTTCCAGGACTGTGATGAATAAGAGTGGTGAAACGAACAGAACACCCTTGTCTTATCTCCAGTTTTAGGGGGAAGTATTCAGTCTTTTTCACCTTAAGTATGAAGCTAGGAGTAAACATGGCTTCTGCCCTTGGCCAGGTGACAAAGAGTAACCTCTCTGAATATAAAATTTAATGAACATAGGTCTCAGAGTAAGGAGAAACTGTATTATTTCTGCCTACTTAGTGTCCACCCATCCCCCTCATAGAGCAATGCTTTTTCTCTCAGGGGAAGCCAACAGTGGACAAGTGTGTAAAGACTGGTCACTTATCTACCCCATCCTCTGGACCAAGAATGTCATTCAATAAAATTCAAACATAGGACTTTAGAATTCTTTTATAAAAGCTCACTTTACACTATACTTACAGATCAGGAATCCATGAACAAGGGCCTATGATACAAATCCAGCCTGCTATCTGTTTTTGTAAATAAAGTTTTATTGAAACACAGTCATACCGTTCATTTATATATTATGGTTGCTTCTGAACTACTACAGCAAAGTTAAGCAGCTGCAACATGGCCCACCAGGCTGAAAATACTTCCTATTCGGCCTGTTGCAGGAAAATTTTATTTGACCCCAGTTCTTAAAATAGCATGTAAGCCTGCAATAGTGAGGAAACATCTCACCACTACATGGAAAAAAAAAACATTTTGGAATGTGAAGCCGCAAAGAAAAAGAAACAACTCCAAATATTATGTAAATCAGACTCAGATGGGCCAGAAACTATTATACCCCAGATTTTTCATTTATGTAATCCAATAAACCCAGATTTTTCTCCGGCCAGTTTGAATTGGGTCTCTTTCATTTGAATCGAAAGGATTCCAATTTGCTACATAGGTAAAATCCGTAATACTCAATGTAGGGCTACAACCCTAGTTCCTTCCTCTGGCATATGTCCATTAATAACATATAAGATATTCAACATTTCTTTAGACTAGAATGTGACTGGGTGCTAAAAACTGTGATTTATGTAACAATTAACAAAAATGTTGTGAAATCAACTGATTCAGGGTTCATTTCGGGTTTTCTTTTCCAACCAGCCATTCTAAGGCTTTTGCTGAACAATGTGAGAACAAAAAAAGAACAAAAACCAAAATTACTCCCACCTCCAAAGAAAAAGAAAAAGCCTCTCAACACTGAATAATCTGTCACAGGACAAATGAGATAGAAGCATAAAAACAGAAGACAGGTGTCCCCATTAACATCTCCCTGAAATAAGGGAATTGCTCTAAGACCAACAAGAGAAAGAGCAAGTTAGAGAAAGCCAAAACTCCCAGGGGACAGATTTAACTAATTTGAGAAATAGTGATTAAAACTGGAGCTGCTAATTGTCTACTGGGCAAACATCTCCAGTAATGTTCACTGGAGGCCCTAGCACTGGGAGGCAAAATCACGCCTAGTGTTTATCACGCAGTCAATCATTCGTGTGTATTCCTCATCTCTCCTCAGGAAACACATAGAGGTATGGTTTTCAATGCAAGCTCTATGTTCCTGGGAGGACATAATTTTATATCATCTTTAGACACAGAATTATTCTGTGTTTAAACTTGTTTTTAATGTGTACGATCTGGAGCAAGGAGATGCTTCTTTCTATACTACACTTTCCATCTACAGAGGCCAGATGCCAATCTATAGGAAAACTGAAGTGGTTAATAAGAGACCAATTACACACAGACAAAGAAGAAATGTCAAGGGCAGGGAGGGCTGCAAGAGGCTGAAAATGGAGTTGGTGAAGTAGTTTCAGAACTTCAGCCTGGTGAGGGTGAGGAATAATAGTGGGATTTTTTTTTTTTTATGGCCACCAAAAGTAACATGTTATGGCAGAACTGTTCGTCCTGGGTATTTCCTTTATTATAAGTTTTAAGAATCGTTCAAGAGAGTCAGAGCTAGACATGGTGGTACATACCTGTAATCCCAGTGGCTCAGGAGACTGTGGCAGGGATCACAAGTTCAAAGCTAGCCTCAGCAACTTAGTGAGACCCTAAGCAAACTCAGCAAGACACTATCTCTAAATAAAATACAAAATAGGGCAGGGGATGTGGCTCAGTGGTGGAGTGCCCTGAATTCAATCCCCAGTAATGAAGAGAGAGAGAGAGAGAGAGAGAGAGAGAGAGAGAGAGAGAGAGAGAGAGAGAGAGAGAGAGAAAGAGAAAGTATTGTAAAAATTAGTTGAGTAAGAATCCTTGGAAGGCAATTGGACAGTTTATTACAGATGAAAAACCAAACATATCTAGAGACAGACATGGGTTTGAATTCCAGCTGTGCCACTATGGTGGAGACTGCCAATACCCACAGCATCTTTCCCTCCTTCTTCCTTGAAGTTGTGTTGGGTACTGGCAGGGCTGGTAGGTGCCTATGTGCAGTCTGGATTTCTCATTCTCCTCTGCAGACAGCTGTGGTCAAATCATTACGTTTTGAATAATGGAATTGAGATTTCTGCTTCTGGGTCCTTCAAAATACTTGCCCTGGAGATGTGTTTGGTTTGGGGTTTGTTTTATGTGTCTGTGTTTGGGTTTTGGTTGGTTGTTTTGAATCCAGGTCTCAGTATGTTGGGCAGGCTAGTCTTGAACTCACGGGCTCAAGCGGTTCTCCTGCTCAGCCTCCCAAGCAGCCAGAACTAGAGGCATGAGACAACAACGTCCAGCTGCCCTGGGTGCTTTCATCCACATTTTCTGGTTGGAAAATGGCACTAACTAGAGCAAGCTGGGAAGCCATAGGTTGACAGAAGGATAGTACAAGGGATGAGCAACCCACCTCTGCTCTCAGAAACAAATACACTTCTTTCTTCCTTAAGCTACGACACTTTGGAGTCTCTCTACTATATAGCAAACCAGCCTGTAGCTGACTAACATAGCCAATTACTATCTGTGCAACTTGGTGCAAGTTATTTAACTCTCTAAACCTCAGTTTCTTCATCTATAAAATGAAATCGTAACACTTCTTTCTTAAGGCACTGAAGAGAAATAAATGGATTAAGAGATATAATCTACCCAATCTTGTGCCTAACACATTTTAAAAAGTGCTCAAAAGATGCTAGCAGGGGCTGGGTTGTGGCTTAGCAGTAGAGCACTTGCCTAGCATGTGCGAGGCCCTAGGTTTGATTCTCAGCTCCACATAAAAAAATAAATAAATGTATTGTGTCCAACTACAACTAAAAAATAAATATTAAAAAAAAGGATGCTAGCAAAGATGAGGGCTTTCAAGAACCTACTTTCAAAGGCCTCTAACATCAAGCAATGATTGTGCCTACAAAGCCCTAACGGTAGAAATGTGTATCTGCTTTTGAGAGCATTTTTATGGGAAAAACATAATTACAGAAAAACATAATTATCTTATATTTTAGTCCAGGAAAGAATTAAGATTAAACAATGTTTCATTATGGTTTAGACAACTGTGCCTAGATCTTTAAATAGTTCTTTAAACCTTGGTCTATATTATTATAATAAATGATATGCAAACTCTATTTATTCATGTTTAGTTGATCAAACTGAGACCAAGGTTTATAAAGAACATAGTTAAGTAGGAAGGTACCTGCAGCTATGTTGCCAAAGCCCCTCACCAGGGCAGGCCGAGAGAGACACACACAAAGGAACAAAGATGGTCTGTACTGGTCACCCAGTGTGGCACACCAAGCCCACGGCCTGCTTTTTCCTTGCATACATTTCTCCACTTGAACAGTGCTTCTGTGAGTGTTAATTACTGGCCCCTCTGGCCCTGTAGGGTCTTTCTGTCTTTTATTGGTGAGACATGGCTAGACTATACTCTTAGGATTTTTGTAAACTTGAAATTAGCTGGACACTGAAGTTGAGAACCTTAGCATCAAGATAAGAGGACTGTTCTGGGACTTGCCTGGAGCTCTTATGTGGGTTTATGTCACAAGATGCATAACAACCACAAGATGAAATCACCCAGCTGAGGCCAGCATCTGTGAAATGGCAGCACAGACCAAAACACCAGTCTTAACTCCCTCCACCTACCCAGAAAACATCCCAATGTTTATGATGGAATATGAGTTTCTATGGCAAAGGGACAAGGCAATGGAAGATGCTGTATAACCTGTTCACACTTTTATGATCATTTATCCCATTAAAATGGGTTTGAATAAGGTTTTGCATCCTACTTCAATAAGGCAATAAACATTTAGTGAGCCAGACTGGGCTGTGCCTCCTTTAAGAGACCTGGGTTCATTATACCTGCCTCTGCAAAGGGGGAGCCTTGGGGTAACACCATGCAGAACTTCTACCTTGGGACGGAAAGGCCAAAATTCAAGAACTACATACACATAGAAGCAATAGCAAAATCCACAAAAAATTACCCTAGGAATAAAAAACTACCTGTGGTACCTTGGCTTCAAACACTCAGAGCTTTAGAGCAACAGCAAAAAAATCACTGAACTAAGGAAGCAACAAACAACTCAGGATCTTTATTCTTGCTCTGCTTCCCTGAATTGTTACTTACAGGTTCCCGGCCATCCATGGCTTCCATCCAGAGCCTCCGGTCCTCTTCTGACAAAGCCTGCATGGTGATAACCCCTGGCCTGTGGAGAAAGGAGGGACACAGACATGAACCAGTGCCACATGGAGATTGGCAAAGGTAAACCTTAAAAAAATACCCACTCTCCAGAGTGAGAGGCTACTGAGGCCAACAAAACAAAGAGAGGCACAGCACTCAAATTTTCTAAGACACCTTCCAGTGCATAAAGCAAAGCCGCCTTCCCAAATCCCTTTCAGTAAGCCCTCCTCCCTAAGAAAGGCAGAAGAAACAAGAGATATTGGTAAGGGACACGGGAGTAACAAGATTCCTTTAGAGCTCCTTCCTTGCTTGGAACCCTGCTCATTTCTCTTCTTCAGAATGTTCAACAGAGTACTTTACTCACAGGATAAATGCAATAAGTATTTACTGAAGTGAATGGAGTCACTGGACTCAGGGAAAAAGGGGAAAATGTCCAAGCTGGAGGTCTCTTGATCTCCTAATATCTAGTCCATTGCTTCTAAGTTGCTTTGACATGAAGAAGTTTAATGTAGTCAATCAGCTTGTAATTAAGATTATATTAAGTGTACGTAGATTTTAATGAATACTTACCATATCTGGGGTTAAGTGCTTTATGGACATTAGCTCTTTCCACTCTGTCACTGAAAACTGCTTGCTGTTTACAACTGAGCACAAGCATCCAGAAAGGACACACACAAAATCAATTGGCATTACGAATGGTACTCCACGAGAAAGAGGACTATGTCATAAATATGACCTCAGAAGGAGCTCAATTGCTGAGTAAGGTAGGAGCCCTTTATTTAGGGTCACAGAGAGATCCCGGACTGTCCATAACCATTTTCCCTCCAAATGCTTATGTATTTTTCTGTAGGAGCAATTCAAACTATCCATCAGGTTCTCAAAGAGGAATCAGGTACAGTGTCACACGCCTGTAATCCCAGAGACTTAGAAGGCTGAAACAGGAGGATTACAAGCTCAAGGCCAGCCTCAGCAACTTAGCAAGACCCTGTCTCAAAATTAAGAATTAAAAAAAAAGGGGGTAGGAGTGTGGCTCAGTGGTAAAGCATCTCTGAGTTCGATCCCCAGTTTTTTAAAAAAAAAATCTCAAAGAGTACTGCAAACCTTAAAAAAGTTAAGAGTTGCTGATTTTAACCCTCTCAGACTTAAGTCTGAGAAAGCCTGAAAGGCAGGAAGAGATCTACTGAATGAGAACTAAGTCCAACTGCCATCTGAGTCCACAAATTCTGTTGAGAACCCCAAGCAATTCAGTACTAAAAACCCGTGAGGCTGGGCCCCCAAACACACAAGCCTGTTCATTCCAACCTTCCTAGAATCTCTGCTCCTGGTTGATGTCCACAGTTGCAATAAATAGGACAGACCTGTTTTTGTTTAGCATATTTTAAATATTATATCTCCATCTTTTCATTAATCACCCCTCCACTTCCCCTGAGAAAAAAGTTTTCAAAGATGTGAGCATGTAAGGTTTTGGGCTGTGAGGAGCATGGGAAGGGTGGGTGAGCACATGTGCCTGGGTACATGAGCATATGGGGGTGGGGGGGTGAGGTTGTGGGAGAGTGTGTAGGGGTGAGAGAGGGTGAGTGGATGGGTGGAGGGTGGGTGTATTGAGGATGGGAAGACAGTGATTCCTGAGAGATGGTCATTCCTCTGAAGGCCATACTGGGTGCTGGCACCAACTAACACAAAGATGACTGCAGAGATGGAACAACCCCTCTCACCACAAGTACCTACAAGGGCTCTCCCTTAACTTCTCAGAAATTCTCATTCTCAGATCCAAATGCCCATGTCCCACTATCAACCAATTAGTGTACCAGATTCCCTGAGTGTATACAGACTGTGCTGGCATCCAGGGCTCGACAAAACAGACCATCTGTCATGGGGACACAGTGGATTGATTCTCCCCTTTCACCTTTCAAAAAGTCAAGTGCACTGAATTCATTTACTAGTTCTAGAAGTTTTCTGGTGGAACTTTAAGGATCTTCTAGGTATAGAATCATATTAACAGCAAATAGTGCCAATTTGAGTTCTTCTTTTCCTATGTGTATCCCTTTAATTTTTTTCATCTAATTGCTCTGGCCAGTGTTTCAAGAACTATGTTAAATAGAAGTGGTGAAAGTGGGCATCCCTGTTTGTTCCAGTTTTTAGACATGAATTGGGGTGAATATACTGTATTACAACCAGAGATATGAAAAATTGTGCTCTATATGTGTAATAAGAATTGTAATGCAATATATATATATATATATATATATATAGGAATGCATTATAATTTAAAAAGAATATATATATATATATACACATATATATATATATATATATATATATATATATATATATATATATACACATACATACATACACACACACACACACATATATATATATATCAAGCGCAAATACTTGGAAGCTGATGGCTTTGAAGCTATGGTCTACTGCAGAACTCTCAAGTCCCTGAACATGGATCTTTGAATGTTACTCAAGGTCTTATCCCTGTACTGCCTGCTTCTGAACTGGGTAATCCATTAAAATGGAGATTCCCAGCCTAACCCCACCCTATTGAATGTGGACTTCTGGGCTGGGCCTGGGAACATTGGATTTTAACCCCAGGTGATCCTGGTTAAATTTGAGGTCCAAGCTTGGGCTGCCCACTCCACTCGACTCATTTCCTTCCTGGTCACCCCACACTGGAGAGCAAAGACACCCTCCTCTCTACACTGAGGTCACGGAGTCAACACATCTCCAGTTCATTTCCTGTTAGGAAACAGTTTGAGCACAAGAGATGCCTAAATACCAAGATCTCAGGGGCCTCGCAGATGTCATATCAACTTCATGGCACACAGTGAGAAATTTCCACCCTGAGCCACAAAGAGGAAGTTCAAACAAACTCTGAGGCTGTAAAGGGTGGGTCACTTGGCCTAGGTGACCAGGAAAGTCAACAGGATTTGTTTTCATCTCAAGAAGATATATCAAAATACAAGTTCTTTTCCACATGTGATCTTGTTCGCTTCTGGAGGGTGAAGGGAGAGTATGGCGTGGAGTAGATGATAGATGGTGAATAAAGTGCATTCAACACACTCCGTTTTAATCCTATCACCCCAAGTTCAGATACTTTTTTCTCAGTCTCCAGAATGTACATCTGGAAATAGTACTATCGTTTCTAGTACTTACTATGATTGAAACCCCTATTACACAAATCTCCTAATTAATGTGAATTTCCTAGAAACAAGGTTAAAAAATAAACACTCTATTTGGGAACCAAACAATGATTTCTTTCCATTTTTATGTTCCCTATGCCCCTATGAACCACCACCCCCCAAAACAAAACAAAACCCTCAATGTCCCTTCGGAGCAGCACATTTTCACACCTTTTCTTACAGGTTTTCAATTTAGTTCATGTTTAAAATCCATGTGGGCCAGGTGCAGTGACATCTGCCTGTCATCCCAGGAGGCTGAGGCAGGAAGATCACAAGTTCAAGGTCAGCCTCAAAAATTTAGTGAGACCCTGTCTCAAAATTTGAAAAAAATAAAGAGGACTAGGGATGTGTTTCAGTGGTAAAACAACCCTGGTTTAAATTTTAAATTCCAATAAATAAATAAATAAGAATGTGAGTTTTCATAGCAAAAATGAGATGGGGGAGGTGGGGGAGGGGAAAGATGTGCAATGAGAAAGGGAAATACAAAACAATGAAAGAGAAATGGATAAATGATCAAGTTCTTTCTAAGCTCCATGAAGAAATGTGATCCTATTAGATGCCTTAAAAAAAGAACAGTAACAGTCCAGTACTATGTGCCAGCTGCTGTGTGGGCACTCCACATAAATTCATTTATTTAGACTTCAAAGCTATGTCATACAGTAAATATATTTTCATTATCCCACTTATCAGATGAGAAAGCCAAGGCTCAGAAAGGTTCAATACCTTTTCCATAATTACAGAGCTATCAAGTTACAAAGCCTTGTGCATGACTCCCGTGGCAAATGCAAAGGTATCAGAGCCACAGAGCACTTAAGCTGACCACCCAAGTCTGCAGGGTCAAAACAAAAAAGCACTCTTGCAAACACCTCAGTGTGCTCCTGCCCAGGAATCCATGGGATTGAATGATAAAGGGCTATGTAAACCTAAAGTGCTTTTTAAATATGAGACCTTGCATTATCACCTAAGGCAAACAGTCAATTTCCAAACAAGAATCCAAGAGTACCAGTGTGGCTGGGGCTTGCTTTCTCTAGCAGCAGTTCTCCACCTTCTTTTCTACCTTAAAACATTCAAGAGAATGAAAAGGCAACTAAGTTGGTTTTTAAGACCACGAAAAGCACTAATCATAAAGAAAAAAACAGGTAAGTTCACCAAAATGAAGAACCTGTATTCATCAAAAGCTAGTAGAATGAAAAGGTAAACCAGAGAGAGAAAAAATATTTGTGATATATACATATCTCCAACAAGACTCTCATCCAAAATAAATACCTACAAATAAATAAGGGGATGGGGTGCAACTGAACAACCCAATCCAATAAAAGACTTAAAAGGCACTCTATAAAAAAGAACATCCAAATTGCAAATAAGAATAAGAAATAGGACCCAAAATGATTACTCATTAGAGGAATGTAATTAAAACCACAGCGAGATATAACAAACACCCTCCTGAATTGATAGCACTAACAAGGCCACTGATACCAAATAGTAGCAAGGATGACGAACAACTGAGACTCTCATATACACTGCTCATACAACAGATAAGTTGATAAAACCACTTGGGCACTATCTTCTAGAACTAAACAGACACCTGCCATATGACATAGCAATTCTATCTCTACACAGATCATCAAAAGAAACAAGTGCCCACATCCACCAAAGGCACATTCAAGAATGCTTGTAATTTCTTTCCTAGTAGCCCCAAATAGCAACAATAAAAGTATCAATAGATAAGAAAACATAGAAAAGGTTGTAAATTAAAGCAATAAAACACTATAGGACAACTATAAAGGACCCACTACTGCTAAATGTGAGATGAATGAATCTCAGACATAATTAG